ATTTCTCAAAGGTATAAATATAAATATTAGATAATTTAGATTTACAAGAAAAAGTATAAATATTAGTAGAGATTAGATGTATAAAGGTTTAAATACCATTTTAATCCCTCAACCTTTTGCTTTGGCACCAAAATCATCCTTTAACTTTAAAAATACTAAAATATCCCTCAACTTTCATTTGCGGTACCAAAACAGTTATTCTGTCAGTTAAACGGATTAAGGGTCAAGTTAAATTGCCAGAATATCAATCTTTATATATTTTTTTAAATGACGTGTAAATTAAAATATTTTTTTTATTTATAATCTAGAATAAACTTCATCTTCTTCCTCCTTCCTTTCCCTACTCATCCTTCCTTCTAGGTTGACTTGCTCATGATTGAAGATGTCTCCCGAAAATCGCTTATCATTCTCGCTGCTAAACACTAACGTTGTTCCTCAGAAAATTCCCTAAATCCCTCGTAATCTTAAATAGCCCCAGATTTCTTCAAACCCACCTGCAAACACCATTGTCGATCAGATTTATCTTTGCAAATGCAATAGATAAACACTCATTTAGGATCTCCTATCTCATGAATTCATGTGGGTTTTCTCCCCAATCTGCTCTTTTGCTTTCCAAAAGAGTTCAATTTGAAACCCAAAAAGCCCCAAAATCGCTCATTGACTTCTTGAGCAATCATGGGTTCTCGCAAACCCAAATCTGAAGCTTCATCCAGAAATGTCCAAACTTTCTTTTGTACAATCCTGAGAAATCCCATTTCTCCTTCCTCTTCAGATCTGGATTCTTTTGTCGATTACCAATACCATGAACCACCGGCAATCATGGCTACCCTGTGGCTAAACCGACGTGCAAGATAAGTCGATCACCATCATAGCACAGTTTCCCTTACTTAAGCTTGACTAGAGGCGCAAAACTCGTTGGGTTCACATTTGGGAAGTATGAGCCAGAAGAAAAGGGGAAAACAAACAAGCAAGCAAAAATTCCAAAAACCTAGAATTTGGAAAAACAAGTAGTTTTGATGGGAAATGGAGGAGTTCTAGACACATCTTGTCACTTGGGAGGATTCTGGTGGTGAATGAGTGAGATGGCCCACGATTAGATAAGAAGTTGGTGTGCTGTGTGGTACCATCGGGGCTAGCAAGTTTGGTTTGAGAACCCAAATTTGGGTTTGAGAAAAACCCAGATTTGGAGAGGAAGAAAAAGGGAGAAGAGAGAGAGTTTCTCTTTGTTCTTGGTCTCCCTGAAGAAGAGAAACTCACGCAGGTGCCTTTCTTTTTTGGCTAGAAGAATTGCAGAAACCAGCTCCTCTAGGAAGAAGAGATTCGTGGGATTAACAGTGAGTTTTGGAACAAAGATTAGGTTGGTTTGATAACCCAGATCTAGGTTTGAGGAAAACCCAGATTTGTAGAGGAAGAAGAAGGGAGAAGAGAGAGAGAAAGAATAAGAAGAAGAAAGAAGAAGGATGAGCAAGAAAAGGAACGAGGAAGGTTGATAGAGAAATG